TTTTTTTTTTTTTTTCCCCCGATTCAGAAACAAGTTTTCTATTGACATGGTCATAAATTTAGTTTCAGTTATAATGCATATGTAACCGACAAGTTGAAAAGATTAAACAACAATGTAAACAAACAGAACATTTATTTTAGGTTCCTTACTGTATCAAATCTTTTTGATTCATTTTATATTTATACCAAAAATAGATAAAATATAGGAGTGCATAAAATTCTGTAACTTAAATTACCAGTATTAGGTTAGCTTAGTTGCCTGATTTTTTTCCTATGTGAACTTATGTGAAGAATTTGATTTGTAACCTTTCATTTTGTTTCATGAATTCTTTGTATTTGTTACTCCCTCACCTCGAGCATATTACTGTTACTGCCTGTGGTTGTATATTGTTTATCTGTAAATAAAGTTTGTTAAAAAAATGTGTCGAGCTAGCTCCAAAAACAGCCAAGAAGCAGTTTGTGATGTTTGTGGAAAAACGGTAAAGAGCTGTGGCAACACAACAAACCTTGTAAAACCCCTCCGGTTAAACCACAACACAGAATATGAGATGATGAGGTGGAGAAGGAGAGCAAAGAGTCCGGTGCTGCTGCTGACAGGGCAGGGGTCTGCAAGCTGCGGCTCTGGGGCCACATGTGGCTCCTTGATCTGCATCGGCCCTTTCAGGCTTTGACCAAAACTAAAATAAAACTGAATTTTATTTAAATTATTGTCAACTATGAAAATGGCTAGTTTCAGCAGATGTCCTGTCATTTTCAAATACAGTATGTGAAGAATAGTACAAATACGAGGCGTAAAATTGTGGACTACATCATTCTAGTAGTTTGTTAACCACTTTAAGTCGACTTCCAGTCGCAGCGTGAGCTTTCTCTCAAAACCACCAGAATGTTTTGGAATATCTTTAAGAGAAGTTGCTGAGAAGGAATATGGTGATTACATTGATAACACTGAGAATAAAACACAAAAAGCAAAGTCAAAGTAAGTGAAAGTATTTGTTTTTCTTTAAAAATGTAATTGGATACGCAACAAACTGGCCTAACTTTATACTGTCTTTAATTTTATGCTTTACGTCAGATTCTTAATTCTTAAAGAACTAAGAGAACTTACATCGGCCTGCAGAGTTCAGTGCTTTAATTTTTACAAAATTGTTTAAAATTATATATTTTTCCTTTCTTTACATGAATTTGTTCTTTTCTTTTGTATTAAAATGTAAAAATAGCAATAAATGTTAATAATAGTTAGACATTTTTTGTTTTATAAAATCATCCTGAGCAGACGGAAAAGCCATCTCCAACAGACCTGTAGTGGTCCACAGGCCACCAGTTGACAGTACACATCTGGAGCAGGTTTTGCTGCTCCGGACATCGTAATTAGTAAACAAAGTGGCAAGAATGGCTCTTTTTGTAACAAAGGTTGCAGACCCCTGTGCTAGGGCAGGACATGTTCTGGTGGAGTCCTTCAGTTCTGCAGGACTTATACAGAAGGAGAAAGTGTGGAGCTTCAAGCGGTGAAATTGTTGCAGTTGAACAACAAAGTCCATGCTCACTAATCCACGTATACAATCCAACATTTTTCAGTCAGGACTGAAAACTTTTGACACTGAAAACTGAAACTGAGTGTATACCTGGATTATTGAGCATGGACTTTGTTGTTTTCAACCAGTTTGACACGACTGTCAACAAGGAAGAGGGCCAGCAACGGAGGAGGGGGCGTACCAAAGAGACCATCTTATCACAAGCAGAACTGGTTTGTTCCACTTTGGAGTAAGCTGTTGGAGGAAGAATCAGTTTTGTTGTGTGTTTCCTTGACTGATGAAGCCTTCTGGATCGAATGTGAAACGTTTCAGCACAAAAAAAGAAACTGTCCAGATGACCTGACTGAAAAATGTTGTGTTGCTGTTGAAGTTGTTCAAATTAATACAGATGGTTATAAAAAAAAGTGTAGCGAACTCGGCCTCCGATCAAAACCTGCCTCTGAAGTCCTTCATGGGACAGGAACTGTTATTTCATTGATTTGAATCCAAAAATACAACTTAGCTCATCCAGAGACTTTCTAATTGTATCCTGAACTAATCAATTGAAAGAACACTCTCTTTTTTATATTATCATTACTATTTTACAATGTCTTGATAATCAAAACTGTGTTTAGTTCAAACCATTTTTAAATGTTGAAGTGAACCACTCATTTTAAATCAACTGTGAAACAGTATTAATGATTTTTAATCCTCATTCAAAGTAGAAATCAAGTTAAATGTCTATTTTACAAAGTAATTATGCATTTTTTGACCTTCTGTCTGAAATGAGAAGAGTGATGTCGGTCAAAAGTCGGAGACAGTCAAGAAACAAGTTGTTGGAACAAACTGTCGTGCTTTTAAAACTCTCAGACAGTAAATAAGAAAACTGGCACCTGTAAGTCTGTCATTTCTCCAAAATATTTTCTCATCTGTAACTAACCGTTCTCAAAACATTTCTGCTGTTTTCTTGACTTGTAATGACCCTCTGACATCACTAAAACCACACCCCTGTTGGTTCCTTCAACCAATCAGGACTTCCTAAAAGTGACCGGAAGCAGAACTCTTTAAAAGTCGACACTTCCTGGAACTGTTGGTTCCGTTAGTTCCTTGGAGTTCTTCTGGTTCGGATGGAGTTCGGCTGGAGTTCCTAGGAGTTCTGCTGAGTTTTTCTCAGACTCAGTCTTCTGAGTCTAGTTGGAATTATGGAGTCTTCCACATCTGAGTGGAACCTCTGACGGACTCACAGCTCGCTGTGTATCCACCCGGGAGATGAGCATGTTGTTGAACGGAGTACCGTCACTACTTCGGACGATTCTCAGCCATCCTGAGGAGACGCTGAAATGTAGCGTTGAAATGGAACTCCGTACCGGAGCTGACCTATCTTCTGCAAAGGTAACGAGTCGCTTCACTACCTAGTGTACCGGGGCTGAGCCGGGGTTGGATGAAGGGTGCCATTCCTCGTCAACACACTTTCTTCCTCCACATTTTCTCTCCATTTAAACTCCTTCATTTCCTATCTTTAAACTTCTATCTTGCCAGTAATTAATCCAGATATCTTCAGAAATGTCTGTTGTTTTTATTAAGTAAAACGTGCCAAGTTTTATTAACCAGAACTAGATCAGTCTAATCAAGTGTACAATGTTTTGATGTTAAATTTTGATTCTGTTAATAAATGACCACATATATTTTGATGGGTCAAAGAA